CATTACTCCTACGACCGCGCTCAACGACTAGCCTCTCACCAGCAGCCGCCGCGCTGCGATCAATCAACCTCCAACTCAAGCTGCCGCACGGCAACCAAGCAACCTCCAGCCACGGCCGCTCTGCGGCCAGGCCACTCACCGCAACTAGCCTCTCTCCTTACCGGCGTGCGCCGCGCTACCTCTCCAATCAAGCATCTCAGCAACCGCGGTCCTTTTCAGGACCAACAAACTGTTCCGAAGAAGTGGGTTGTCATCGGAGTAATGACAAGACTACATCAAGAGCCCCACACAACTATACGTGTACATTATGAATTCAGAGATGATGTGGTTACATTCAGTGTCTGACTGTTGCTATTATTTTCCAGACAGCCTCAATAGGTACATAACCTCACATTCATAATTACAAAATCCGGTGTACTCATATGTATATTCAAGGACTACAGTTTTCTGGGATGTGACACTATGTAGTTTTGTGGCCCCCATATCCCACCACGAAAACCTCATATCATGCTTGTGTATCTTTTTTGCTTATGATGGAGAGAAAGGAAGGATTAGAGAATGACAAAAGGGTGGACAAGTAAAAAGGATGGGAAAGGAATGTTGGATAACCTTTGTAACAGCAGATTTGTGTCTGTAATAACTTAACATCAAATCCAGTGAGGTATTTGGGATTGCAAACACATTATGATAACCCATTTCTTCCATTGTGTATGGCTTTCCACTGATGTTTCTTCCTTTCATTCAGCTGCTGTAGTTCTTGAATCTGACAGTCTGTATTTGTATTGGGTAGTTGAAATGAAACAAGAGAGGGCCTATCAGTCTTTCATTATGAACTGCATGTTATAAATTTCTGCACAGCCTCTTTCTCTTTGTACATTAACTCTGAAAATGGAGAGGATGAACTGTGTGCACAAGGTCATACATTCCTTGTATAAAAATTATCTTTGGAGGTACAGTATGTATCAAAATACCAGAAACATGTTTCTTTAAAATTTTGCTTTAAGTTTCTAGTGGATATCTCACTAAGCTCTTGTACTTATAGGTCTGAACTTCAGTGGACACTTCAGGTGCATTCTGAGTAGTACTTCCATGATATTGCATTATATATTGACAGTAACTCAGCAGGTATACTGTAAGGAGATAAATGTTAATGTGTAAAAGCTTAAAGTGAAGGATGCTATATTATATTTTGCAGAACAATGAATGATGAATGATGTGGCACATACCATAAATGAAGAAAACTGTCTCCTGGAATTTGACCCCATGTAGTCTGCTGAAGTTTACTAGTAGTTTTGAGGAACTAACTGCCTCCATCTTAGAAACAAAGAGTGACCCAAGCAGGTATCAAGCAGAGGATTGTTTGCATTTTGTTTGCTCAACTCACTCTTTGACTCTGATGATGGAGGCAGTATGTTCCTTCAAAGCACCGAAAATCTTTAGCAACTTACATGGCTTGAGTCACTGCTGTGACAAACTCAAATTTCACATATTATAACCATTCAGTAAATTCATATTATTGTTTTTTTTCTTTTAATTTTTCTTTAAAAATTGTTTATGTTTAGAGACTGTGGCTGAATATGTTGATTTTCTTTGTGTCGTGCTTACATATCACCTAAAAGCCATATTGCATGAGAAGAAGTTTTTATTATAATACAAAACAAAAACAAATGAATATAGATCACTATTACCAACTTGAACATTTTTACATTACTAGATTCTCAACATTCCTCCTTAATTTCAAAATGTTACAAACACATTCTCATTTTCCTCCTTAATTTCAAAATGTTGTCACATTATTAGCTGTTTTACAACATTAAATTGAATAACACTTAGTAATTTTGGTCTTCAGATTACAGATTCAGATTTTTGTTTGACTTTTCCACATCCTCTGAATGTATTTCTAGTATTGGATTTATGGAAATAAAGACTACTACTACTACTACTACTACTACTACAAAATTAGTACATGTAATTAACATTTTCTCAGTCTTATCAAAATCAGACTTATTTCTTCTTAAGTATAATGTCTCTAAACTTGGTAAATTTCTCTGGTGATAGCGGTTTTGTTAAAATGTCTGCCACCTGAGTTTCAGTGTTACAGTATTTGATTGAGAACAGTTTATCTTTCAATTGTTCACATATGTAGTAGTGGTGGGATCAATTGGTCCACACACATCACTATGAATTATCTCTAATGGCTTTCCGGCCCTACTTCTTTCTGTATCAAATGGGAGTCTCACTTGTTCGGCCTGCATACAAACTGAACATATATAAAAAATTTTACACTTGCTCACACTTTCTGGTATCCCTTGGCATATCTCTTGTAGTTTCCTAAGATTCACATAACTTATGTGACCTAGCTGTCTATGCCACCCTACACTTATATCTTGCTGAGTCATCATAGCTTCATTCATTGCGCTAAAGTTAATTACAAACAATCCATTTTCATCCTTTTTTCCTTCGATTACATTTTTGTCCTTGAGTATCTGGACTTTCTCTTTTGTAAACAACACTTCTCCATAATTTTCTGTAATACAGTGCATTGACAGCAGGTTTTTGCTGAGTTCTGGAACATATGAAATGTTTTTCAAACTTCGCTCTTTAAATTCCAGATTGCCTATTTCTTTTGCAGTCATACTTTGATTTTTCTTTGCTACCTTTATACATTAAGTATACTGCTTAGTATGTATCAAATCAGTCTTCACATTTTTCATAATATAGCCGCTCCCCTTGGCTGTCACTTCTTGTAACCGTCGGGCGCCACTTCTTGTGACTGTTGCCTATCTATCTTTATGTTTATTTATTTGCCCGCTACGGTAGAACACTTGACTCACTTATTTGCCCGCTTCGGTAGAACAATTTTGACTCTTTTATTTGCCCGCTTTGGTAGAACACTTGACTCATTTATTTGCCCGCTTCGGTAGAACACTTGACTCTTCTATTTGCCCGCTTCGGTAGAACACTTGACTCTTCTATTTGCCCGCTTCGGTAGAACACTTGACTCTTCTCATGGTTGTGTCACGGTAATAACTGGGGCAACAAGGAGACTACACATTTAAAGCTAGTCCACTGATACAAATCAAAGACACTATTTTCTGCTTAATACAAATTGTTTATTTCAGAAGCAAACACTATAACTTTATTGGCAAGGACAGAGTAATGTGCCCTTTTTATTATTATCAAAGATTAATCGAACCAAATAGACTGATAAATTTAGATATACTTGAAGAGCGCAGCTCAATACGTCTCTGGTGAATTCAAAATGCCAAGTGCTTCTGCCCACTCTATTCTGCGGGAGCGTCACTTCATCACTGTATAGGATTTGAACCGACGGCCTTTCTCCCAGACAAGAATAGTTTCCTAATGGCTGATTTTAACTGCCAATTCATCATACCATCAGTACTAGACAATCACATTACTAACTTTGAGAATAAAGATCCAAAGATATTGAACCTGGAACCCTACATGTGAAAGCGGTTATGTCTTAGTTTAGGGTCTAATTACACCCTTCCGAATACACTTTTATAACAGCTACCCTATTAGCAAAACAACATTTACATCTTAGGAAAACAACAGACTTGCCTTTTCATAATGGGCCAAGTCCCTTTAGCGGTCACCCAAGCTGCAGGTAACAAAACAAGGCAGTTGTTCCTGTCTAAATGCGAAAAGCAAGTCATAACTTCTTAATGGATGGGTCTCCCTAATAAATCAGTCACTCTATTGAAATGGCTAAAGGGGAACATAGTGTCCATTAAAGAGTTTTAAAAGGTTTGGACTGTTACAATATGACATGTGCTACCACTATCCACTACATACATTTTGTCTTTTTCACTTGCATCACTGACGTGGGTTTCCACTGCTTCAGCTCGAAAATTGACCTTGCTTCTTTTATTCCTATCTTTAAAATAACAGTCCTTTTCAGCATGGTTCGTTTTCTTACATACTGTACATTGTTTTCTCGCATCACTGTCCTTATTTCTAAAGTAACAGTCCTTTTCAGAGTGATCATTGCTTTTACAGATAGAGCAATTTCTCTTACCTTTGTTGGGGCAGTTGATCTGAGCATGACCTATTTGATTACAATTGAAACACTGGAAAGGGGTTTTACTTTTGGTTTTAGTTACTGTCTTAAATGCTATGCTTTCCTCTTCTTTAGTCGTCATCTTGCACTTCACTTCTTCCAACATCAATCTGGCCACCAGGTTGTCAAGGGTTCTGTCCATGGTCGCCACTGAGTTCCAGGTGGTGCTGAAGTGTTTGTAGTCTTCTGGTAGAATCGTTAATTTTGTCATGATCAAGTTTTCATCAATGTTTTGGTTCACTTGATGAACCTTGAAGGCAATGTTTTGCGCATGACTTATATTCGTCATCATATCCTTAGTTTTGTCATACTTGAAGCTGTAGAAGTCTTGTAGCAGAAGGCACTTCTGTTGAGAGGTGTCTCGCTGATAAATTTGCTTACATTTCTTTTGTGGTTGTGCATGTCACAATGTGGGTCTTCACGTTTTTCTCTATCGTTCTCACTATGTAGTATTGGCACTTTGCATCTCGCATTTTCCATTTCTTTATATTTTCTTCGTCTCTTTCTTGATCACTTAACAGGTCGCTGGCATTAATGATGTTTATCAGTTCTTTTGCACGCATCAGAATCTTGATTTCAAAATCCCACAATGGAAATGAGTCAGCGTCCTTCAGTTTTGGCAGATGAGTTACCTCTTCTGTCTCTGTGGTTGCCATTTTTTCGTTATTCTTCTTCTGTCTTCTCCTTTTTCTTTTCTTTTTTAGTTTTTGAGCAAATCTGGGCCCATAACCTGTTGATTTTCTTTGTGTCTTGCTTACATATCACTTAACAGCCATATTGGATGAGAAGAAGCTTTTTATTATAATACATAACAAAAACAAATGAATATAGATCACTATTACCAACTTGAACATTTTTACATTACTAGATTCTCAACAGAATATACCATACAATTTTCTGTGTGCAACTATTTACTCACCTATAATGGCATTTGCTTCCTGTCGAATGGTAACCTCTTGGATACACACACCAATGTGAAAAGCCATCATGACTGTGGCTAGTGTTACAACATTGAAAATGCGATGCCAGAGCTTAAAAAAACCCATCTCCAAACATACACTGTAAAATAAGTATAGGATGAAACAATCCTTTGCTGAAAACAAATCATTTTGAACACAAAACTGAGAAATTTGTATATATCTGTGTGTGTCTTTGTAGTTCAGTTAAAATATATTTTTTAACATGCCTCAAAAATGAGGCAATTTCCTTTTGTTATAAAAGTTTTTTGGTAATGTGTTGAGAATTATGAAGTATCTGTGAAACTGAATCTATTATGTGAGGAATATTTTCTTGCTTCCTTGATTACCTCCTTTGCTTCTCATGAACTGAAAGTGGAGTTTGCATATTCAGAATGTTGAATAATATACATATCAAAATTATTTACATTGAAGTAACATAAAAATAAGTCAATTATCAAAAATGTATTTATGAGCAACTGATCAATTCGAGCAGGTATACTTGGCCATGAACATTCTAAACGCAGTAAAATTTAATGCAGCATTCTGAATGGAATAGTTGGTAAAGAGAATGGCTAATTTAGGTGCCCAGACTTTGGTTTTTGAAAGGGGTTATGTTATTTTGTACCAATATACAAAAAAGGTGATAAAAACTTAGAATCAAATTACAGACCTATATCCATATTGACATCTATTAGTAAGATATTTGAGAAGGTAATGCATAGTAGATTGTTAAAACATTTGAATGATAATGAGCAAATACAAGTTTGGATTTAGAGAAAATCAAGGGACTGAAAAGGGAATTTATAGACTTATCTCTGGCATACTAGACTCATTAAATAAAAAAATGCAGGTCTGTTAGATTTTCTGTGACTTAGAAAAGGCTGGTCACAATATATTATTAAATAAATTGAGGTATTATGGAATAAAAGACAAACAATACAACCTGTATAAGTCATATCTATTGGATAGAAAACAGAGAACTGCCATGTCCAATGGGGCAAACAGTAGTAAAGTAAACTCTCGATGGATTAAAGTAACTAATGGTGTCCTGCAAGGGTCAATACTGCGACCACTGCTGTTTATAATATATATAAATGACCTACCCAAGATTTTGGAGACTAAGAGTATTTCCATTCTATTTGCTTATGATGCCGGTTTTTTAATCCCTTAAAGACAATACAATAAAACTTAAACAATAAATGAAGTATATAGGATGCTGGAGGACTGGCTTAAAAAAATGTAATGTCAATATAATGAAAACATATTATATAAACTTCACTGTAAAATAATGTAGTTAGAGAAATGGGGGGCATAGGAACGGTTTTATTAAACACAAATCACATTTCTTGGCCTGACTATCCAAAATGATATAACTTGGGATAGACATATAGAGGAGATAATAAAGAAATTAAATACAGCTTGTTATATGATAAGAAATGTAAAACCAGTGGTGTCTGTAAAAACATTAAAAAGTGTTTATTATGCATACTTTCATTCTGTTATGACATACGGGGTAATGTTTTGGGGTAACTCAACACATGCAGAAAGAGTTTTTAAGATACAAAAGAGAGTTATAAGAATAATAAAAGGATGTGGCTACAGAGAGTCATGCAGAGAACTGTTTAGGAATATGAATATATTCCCTTTAAGATCACAGTATATATACTCTCTTCTGATGTTTGCAGTAAAAAACAAAGAAATATTTGATACAAATAGGGATTGCTATGATATAAACACTAGACATAATATGGACATACATATGAGCCAGGTAAATTTGGCAAAATATGGTAATGTGGTAACTCACATGGCCGTAAGGATTTACAATGCACTACCTAATAAAATTAAAGTAACTTCTAATGATATAAATAAGTTTAAAAACAATGTAAGATTTGAGGCTCTCACGGCGGTGACTATGAAGAAAGCAGTCTTCTGGGATTTGGCACCGTGTATAAGTGGTGTTAACCGACGTTTCGGCGGAACGTA